CCGTGTGTAGAGTCGCCTCTTGTTTTGTTGGAAAAGAGTGTTTGTGATGACCAGCTTATTCTCTTGACAAAACTCTATTAGCCTTTGCCCTGCTTTGTTTTGAACTCCAAGACCAAACTTACCTGTTGTTCCTTTTATCTCTTGACTCCCTACTTTAGCATTCCAATCCCCTAGAATAAGAAGAACATATTTCTTTCGTGTCAGTTCTAGAAGGTGTTGTAAGTCTTCACAGAATCGGTCAATTTCAGTCTCCTCAGCATTGGTGGTTGGTGCATAAACTTGGATGACTGTGACGTTGAAAGGTCTCCCTTGGATTCCTAATGAAATCATTCTATCATTTTGAGATTGTATCCCATTACAGCTTTTCCCACTCTTTTGTTGACTATGAGGGCTACATTCCTTCTGCGGGATTCTTGCCCAGGGAAGCGGCTCTTTGGCTCTCTTTCTCTCTCGGCACCCCCACACCAGCCTGGCCAGTGGCCGCCTCAGCGCCCGGGGGTGCTTCCTCCTCCTCCTCTTTGTCCTGCTTCAGCCGCCTCAGCTCTGGAGGCTGCCTGGGCTCACCTTGCAAAGTTTGCTCCTCTGTCATGGTGGGTGTAGCTGCTGCTGCCGAGTGTGCCTTTTTGAGGGGGGCCCTCAGGAAAGTTGCTAGACCTCCGTGTGTTTGTGTGCGTGCATGTGTGCGCATCTGTGGGGGGCCTGTTCTGTTTAATTTTGTGGGTACCAGTGGGGCTTTACTCCTTTGGCAAGGAGAATTATGTGAGGTTTTTTTTTAATGTTATGTCGTGCCCTCCTCCCCACCCCACTAGGTGGTCACTGGCACTTCCTCCCTTCTCCGCTTCTCTGTTCTGCTGCTGGTGGTGGTAGTGAAGGAGGAGCCGGAGGGGGTCGTGGCTGGTGACAAGGGCTCACATGCCCTTCCTCCTCCTTGGAGCCCCAGTTGGGCTAAGGAAACTCCTGGGTGGCTTCCTTGGGCTCTTGCTCAGCTGAAAAATCTGATGTGGCCCAGCCTCACCCAGATTCTGCCTCCAACGGCCCCCAGGTAAATTGAGTTTGAGACCCCTGGTCTAATGTCACTTTGTTTTCTGGCACTGCTTCTTCGACGTCTTCTTCCTCATTCTCTGGCACTGGTTCTGAAACACTTGTCTCCCTCAAGTCATCTGTTAATTTCTCTGGCATGGTTTCTATTCACTCTTGAATTACTTATTTATTTTTAAAAATCTGTGCAGAACAAAATCAAAACCATGCTGCTTTGTGCAATTCAAGGGGGAAGTGTAGTAACAGATTACATTATAACCTGCCAGTCAAGTCAGGAGCAATCATACGAAATACCATTACATTTAAGAAGTCCTGCCTGCCTTATTGGTTGTTTTAGCTTTGTAACACCTATTGAATTATTATTTTCTAGCATCTAAAATGTTTAAAATCTATGACACTTTGATTTAGTGTCCAGAAATTTTTACCACACATTAAACTAGTTTAGCTACAACCATATCTATTTAAGTGAGAGTATGTTCACTGTACTCAGTGGGGCTTAATTTTTAGTAAATATAATCCTGTTAGCCCTTAAATCCTGCTATTAATAAATGTATTTATTTAAATTTATTTATTTATTTAACTTCTTTACCACTGATCTGGCTGCCAGGCTACTCTGGACGGTTTACATATTAAGCCAAACAATTCAAAACAATAAACATAATAGTATAAAATCAAAATAAGGACAGACAGCCAACATTTTAAATAATTATAATAAAAATAATATAAAATAATAGCAGGCCTGATTTGTTAAGTTCAGTCACTGTATTAAGATGTTGTAAGGTCCGGGAGGTGGGGGCACTGCAAGTTAAACCACAAAACAGGCCTGATATGTTAAGTTCAAGCACTGTATTAAGATGTTGTAAGGTCCGGACGTGGGGGCACTGCAAGTTAAACCACAAAAGCCTCTAGACTGGGAGGCTGAAAGACCAGCAGTTCGAATCCATGCGGCAGAGCGTGCTCCCCTCGCTTGTCCCAGCTCCTGCCAACCTAGCAGCTTGAAAGCATGTAAATGCAAGTAAATAAGTGGGAAGGTAACGATGTTCCGTGTCTAATCGCGCTGGCCATGTGACCACAGAAGCTGTCTTTGGACAACTGCTGGCTCTACGGCTTGGAAACGGGGATGAGCACCACGCCCTAGAATCGGACACGACTGGACTAAATGTCAAGGGGAACCTTTACCTTTACCTAAGGTCCGGGAAGGTCTATCGAAAAAAAATGTTTTTAACAATGAAAGGAGAAAGAATGAGGTATTGTTTGATGCAACTTGTCTCTTGTTTTGAGTGTTTGTTATCAAATTTGTTTCTCACAATGTCACATTGACAGACACTGGGCATCAGCTCCGACTGCCAACTCTCAATAGCTAAAGCCTCCGCAAAGGTGTCATAAAATTTCAACAAGGAATGCATGCCCTGCTTGCTGCTGACTGACTCCCTTGCCTTTTTTTTTTCTTTTTTTTTTTGCTCCCTTTGTCTTCCACTGCTCAGTCTTATCTAAACTCAACGTCGTCGCCTGGAATTTGTAATCCGGTCGGTGCCAGACTCACGAAGGTCGCGAGCAGCAAGGGCGCCTCGAACTTAACGTCAAAGTCGAAACCCGAGGCGAGGCCTACCGCGCACCCAACTGCACAACCACTTCCGGGTCAAGCAGCCCTGCCCTGAAGACGTGCCTATGGAAGAAGGCAAACCTAAAAAGCCGGGCAGTTCGAGAAGCGCCGGGGAAGCTTCATTCCGTCGGGGAAGTGACACAAGCCCGTGCGGCTCTGCCGCCCAATCGCGTCGCGCCTTTCCTGTCTAAGGCCCCGCCCTTTGCGTCAGAGGAGGACAAAGTCATTGGGAAAGGGTGATTTTCGGCCTTTGAGTAGAGGCGCCGCCTGAGGAGCGGAAGAGAGGGGGATTGCCGCCATTTTAGAAGGTGAGTCCCTGGGAAGGTTTTCTCGCGGGTAACACCGTTCGGTCCCGCCACCGCAACTCAGTGCTTGAGTTTGCACCTGGCTGCCAGTGAGGTAAAACGCTCTGCACGCGGCGGGGTACCCGCTAAGCTGACTGTAGCTTCTCCCCTTGCAGCTTTCCTGTCGCCATGTTCTCCTCCGTTGCGCCGCTCGTGCGGCTCAACCCATTCCACCTTCCTCACATGCAGTTGCAGCAGGACAGCCTCGCTTTGAGGAAGCGCCCGGTGGAATCGACGGAGCCCTCGTCCACTCGGCGGACTTTGGCGGCCGCTTCCGCAGAGGGTGAGTAGGCGGGCGAGGAGAAGGCGAGCGCGTTCACATTCTTCCCTCCCGATGTTCTTCTCGTGTGTAGGTCTGTACTGTACTGGCGCTTTGGCAAAGAGGTGGCGGTTGGACCCAGCCTTAGAGGACAAGGAAGGTCATTCACCTCTGGCTTGTGCTGGTTTCTACTGGAGGCTCGTCCCTGGTTGTGTGACGTGTGTCCCTTCAGCCCTCTGACCCTGCCTCTTTGGCCTAGGTGGAGGAAGCTTGCCATACGACCTTGGGGCTGGAAGGCCATAGACCGGCCCATGTCTTGGAATTTGGATGAAATTCAAGAAATTTGGATGTAATCCAAGAAATTAGACCACCACCCACGTCCAAAGTGATTTAAGGATGGTGTGCCTGTTTGGTAGAAAATGGCTTCCAGGGGTGAAGAAAATTCCTTTTTGGACCACTAATTTGTAGTATATCCAAGCCGGCATGCCCACTGCCATGTTTACTCCGGGATTTTGGGAGTTGTAGTCCAAAAAGTAGATTTTCCCATATCTGTGGGGCTGTTAATAGTAATTAGTTGGTATACAGTTTCCTCCCTGATGTTAGTTTGCTGGAATTAGGTCACAGTTAGAATGACATGGAAGGAGTGAATGGGACTCAGAATTGTGACTGGTATTGATAATTGCTGCACTCTTAGATATTCCAGGTAATCAGTTTTGAATCTTGCTTCTACTCTGCAATATATTTGTCGTATTAGCATGGGTTATTTTGCTGATTATCTTCCTCATTCTGTTGCCTGGAAATTGTTGATTCATGGCAACTGGACTTCTTTCCTATAAGAAAGAAGTTCAGTTGCCATGACACAACCTCCAGATAACCTCACCTGGATAACTGAGAATCTTCACAGATACACTCTATATGTTATGTTACTATTTGCAATGAAGTTGTTTTGACATTTTCAGACAATCATTCTCTTAAACTTGATGCCAATGCAAAAGTGCAGATGTTGTTGATACCTGGTATTGAAGCAGGTGTGAAAAGTGTTGTCCAGTTAATTATCATATTAGAAAATGAATAGTAAAAAGACTTGCTTAAGTTGACCTGTAGCTACATCATAAGGTGGGAGGGAGGGACCTTGGTGTAAACGAAATATCAGATGCACTTAGAACTAGCAGATTACAGTATATTGAAATTTTAAATATACTTTAATGATTTGCCAACTTGTTCTTATTTCTTTTTTTAAACAGAAGAATATAGTTGTGCATATGGCTCTGGCAGGTTCTTCATCCTTTGTGGCCTTGGTGGGATTATTAGCTGTGGTACCACGCACACAGCGTTGGTTCCTTTAGATCTCGTTAAATGCCGAATTCAGGTTTGATTGCATGTCAGATGGAACAAGTTACATAGCATGATAAAGTGTGAAACTGTACTAAGTTTGGATTTAACCCAAAGTTTGGATTTAACCCAAAGAGGTGTATTTTTTTTAAAGAGTTGCATGTGGGGTTTGCTTAACAGCATGGTGTGTCTTGTCTTTTGCTACAGAAGAATACAGTTGTGAATATGGATCACTCAAGTTTTATGCTCTCTGTGGTTTTGGTGGGATCCTAAGTTGTGGTCTGACACATACGGCAGTCGTACCTTTGGATTTAGTGAAGTGCCGTATCCAGGTTTGTATGTTTTCAAGCAGTAGAAGCCTTCTTTTCAGTTCCTTGGAATGAAATATTGGATCCTATTAATGCAGAGAATCCTAATATAGTGATAAAAAGACAAAGGAAAGGCTCGGCAGTGATGCTGAGCAAGTGGATCATTGTTCTCAAGAATGTATAAACACTGTTTGACATAAATGTTTGTCATAAATTTGTCTAATTTTAAAATTAAGGCTAGAATCAGTTATCACAAGTGATATTTGGCAAATTAGCAACTGGATCAGTGTCTTCTGAAGAATGTTTCAACAGGTTGAAATAAACATTTGTCTTAACTTGTTAAAAATTTAGACAAGAACCAGAGTTACAATATTACAATTATATAGTATCTGGCAGGTTAACAATAATATCTTATAACTGTTCTTTATACAGTATGTTCATGAGCTGTAATTTAGTTACTCAAAGGAATGCTTCCAGACACAGATCTCTGATAGATATGTGTTCATATTTAAGATAGATATCTCTGGTTACATTCTGAACCTTTACAACATGTGTGGTATAGAGACTAAATGGCTGTTTCATATACCTGGGTTTTGGAGTGTATGCACTGTAAGACTTAAAAAGCCATTTAACAGGTATTCATATAATATGCAGACACATGGAACATTTTGCATTAAATAATGGTAAATGGAGAGTTTAGTAACTTTAAGTGATGTAGTGGTGCAAAGCAGTTACTGTGTTGCAGAACAAATTAAACTAGTTAGTTGGAGAGAAAATGTGACAGTTTGTACTTTTTAGACACCATGAGTTAACAGGTAATTGCTCTCAGACAAACATATATAGAACTGCAGCCATAGACAATGGAATATATACATGTTGAAACTTAATATATCTAACATTTATTATCTGCTTCTAAATTTGAGAAATTTCTGTAGTAGCAAAAATATAAAAATTCAAAACAATATTATAGTAAACACACAGGAGTTAAATGAGTTTAAATTCTCTAGCTTTTAAGTTATGTCAGTCTCTGTTTCTCATTGTATGATTGAAGATGTTACAACCATAAGGATGTAGTAATTAAACACATTCATGTATTATACAGTGGTGCCTCGCATAACGATGTTAATTGGTTCCAGAAAAAAAAACGTTATGTGAAAACATCGTTATGGGAAGCACCATTTCCCATAGAAATGCATTGAAAACCGGTTAATCCGTTCCAACTGGAACGGATTATCCGGTTTTTTCCCTCCCCCCGCGGCTTGGATCTGACCCATGGTGGCTACCTCAGCCATGGCTGGACTCCCTAGAGTCCGGCCATGGCTGGGGTAGCCGCTGCGGTTACCCTTTAAGCGGCGGGGACAGGCTGGGGGGTGGATCGGGGAGCTTGAAGCCTCTCCGTGCCGCCTACCCAGGTCGTTCCCGGACTTCTGGAAGTCCGGGAACGACCTGGGTAAGCGACGCTGGGAGGCTTCCAGACCTAGGTGTTCGAGAAAGGGCTGGGTAGGCGGCGCAAGGAGGCTTTAAGCGGCGGGGACAGGCTGGGGGGTGGATCGGGAAGCTTGAAGCCTTCCCATGCTGCTTACCCAGGCTGTTCCCGGACTTCCAGAAGTCCGGGAACGGCGGGGGTAGGCGGCGCGGAGAGGCTTCAAGCTTCCCGGTCCACCCCCAGCCTGTCCCCGGAGCTCGGAAGGGA